TCAAGTTTGTTTGTTTGTTTTTCAAGTTTGTTTTTTTTGATTTTCAAGTTTGTTTGTTTGATTTTCAAGTTTGTTTGATTGATGGATGGACTTGTAATGCAAGATTAATTCCACATTTGTTTTCCATATTTGATTGTTGGATGGAATTGCAATTAATTCCACATTTGTTTTTAATGTTTGATAGATGGACTTGTAATTAATTCCACATTTGTTCTTCTTGTTTGTTTGTTTGTCGGACTTGTAATTAATTCACATTTTCCTTTTCATGTTTTTTTGTTTGTTTGTTGGACTTGTAATTAATTCCAGATTTGATTTTAATTTTTCTTTTTTTTATTTGTTTGTTGGACTTGTAATTAAAAGGTCTAATGTTTTTAATTTTTCTTTTTCATATTTGTTTGTTGGACTTGTAATTAATTCCAGATTTGATTTTAATTTTTCTTTTTTTTATTTGTTTGTTGGACTTGTAGTTAATTCCAGATTTGTTTTTGATGTTTGATTTTTGGACTTGTAATTAATTCCAGATTAGTTTTTAATTTTTCTTTTTCATGTTTGTTTGTTGGACTTGTAATTAATTCCAGATTTGTTTTTAATTTTTGTTTGCAAATGGTCTAAAGAGCAATTGGAGGTTCTTTCCTAAAAAAAGAAACAAAAAGTGCTTTCTGCAGCAGCAAACATTCTTTGAAATAAAAAAGTGAAATAAATGAAAAGAAAAAGATCCTAAAAATGAAATAAAAAGAAAAAGTTCCTAAAAAGGAAATAAAAAAGAGAAAGTTCCTAAAAAGGAAATAAAAAGAAAGTTCCTGAAAATAGAAAAAGAATAAGTTCCTAAAAAGGAAAATAAAAAAGAAAAAGTTCCTAAAAATGAAATAAAAAAGAAAAAGTTCCTAAAAAAGAAACAAAAGAAAAAGTTCCTAAAAATGAAACAAAAGAAAAAGTTCCTAAATGAAATAAAAAAGAAAAAGTTCCTAAATGAAATAAAAAAAGAAAAAGTTCCTAAAAGTGAAATAAAAAAGAAAAAGTTCCTAAAAATGAAAAAGAAAAAGTTCCTAAAAAGGAAATAAAAAAGAAAAAGTTCCTAAAAATGAAAATGAAAAAGTTTCTAAAAATGAAAAAAAAGAAAAAGTTGCTAAAAGTGAAACTAAAGTGGTTAAATTGGACTGGGGTTTAGAGAGCAATTAAAAAGTTCCTAAATGAAATAAAAAAAGAAAAAGTTCCTAAAAGTGAAATAAAAAAGAAAAAGTTCCTAAAAATGAAAAAGAAAAAGTTCCTAAAAAGGAAATAAAAAAGAAAAAGTTCCTAAAAATGAAAATGAAAAAGTTTCTAAAAATGAAAAAAAAGAAAAAGTTGCTAAAAGTGAAACTAAAGTGGTTAAATTGGACTGGGGTTTAGAGAGCAATTGGAGGCTGAGGGCAAATAAAAGCAAAAAAGAAAAAAGAAATCTTTCTGGCAAAAATAAACAGTTTTTGAAAATAAAAAGTCAGCAAAAATGAAATAAAAATGGAACAAAAATGAAATAAAAATGGAACAAAAAAGAAACAAAAAGTGGAAAAAACTGCAGAAAAAAAAACATCTCAAACTCCAAGAATCTCTCCGGTGAGAGGGAGGCTGAGGACTTTTTTCTGGCAACAATAAACAGTCTTTGAACAGAATAAAAGTAAAATAAAAGTGGAAAAAAACCAAAAAAAGGCAAAAAAAACGGAAAAAAGTGAAACAAAAACGGAAAAAAGTGAAACAAAAACGGAAAAAAGTGAAACAAAAAACCACTTCAACTTTAAAAAATCTCTCCACTAAAAGTGAGATCCAAAGCCTTCAAATCCCTCCCTTTGTTCCCGAAAGAAACAAAGCAACATCAACTTTTTGGTCTTCAAAAAAGACCAAAAAGTTGATAAAAACAGAACCAAGACGAATAAAAAGCTGAAACAAAGTCCAATAAACTCCAATAAAAACAAACTTTAATCTTCAAAGATCTCTCCACTAAAAGTAAGATCCAAGGCCTTCAAATCGAGCTCACTTCCCCTAGCTCCCGACAGAAATAACGCTATATTTTCGGGTAATAACAAAAAAACCAAAAATGGAATAAAAACAGAACCAAGACGAATAAAAAGCTGAAACAAAGTCCAATAAACTCCAACAAAACCCTCCTTTAATCTTCAAAGATCTCTCCACTAAAAGTAAGATCCAAGGCCTTCAAATCGAGCTCACTTCCTCTAGCTCCTGATAGAAATAACGCTATATTTTCAGGTAATAACAAAAAGACCAAAAATGGAATAAAACTGCAACCAAGATGAATCCAAAACTGAAACAAAGTCCAATAAACTGGAATAAAAATAAAGATTAATCCTCAAAGATCTCTCCACTAAAAGAGAGATCCAAGGCCTTCAAATCGAGCTCGCTTCCCCTAGCTCCCGACAAAAATAAAGCTATATTTTCAGGTAATAACAAAAAAACCAAAAATGGAATAAAAACAGAACCAAGACGAATAAAAAGCTGAAACAAAGTGGAATAAACTCCAACAAAACCCCCCTTTAATCCTCAAAAATCTCTCCACTAAAAGTAAGATCCAAGGCCTTTAAATCGAGCTCACTTCCCCTAGCTCCCGATAGAAATAACGCTATATTTTCAGGTAATAACAAAAAAACCAAAAATGGAATAAAACTGCAACCAAGATGAATCCAAAACTGAAACAAAGTCCAATAAACTGGAATAAAAATAAAGATTAATCCTCAAAAATCTCTCCACTAAAAGAGAGATCCAAGGCCTTCAAATCGAGCTCACTTCCTCTAGCTCCCGACAAAAACAACGCTATATTTTCGGGGAGTATTAAGCAGTCTCTAAAAAACACCAAAAATGGAATAAAAACAGAACCAAGATGAATCCAAAACTGAAACAAAGTCCAATAAACTGGAATAAAAACAAAGATTAATCCTCAAAGATCTCTCCAGTAAAAGAGAGATCCAAGGCCTTCAAATCGAGCTCACTTCCCCTAGCTCCTGATAGAAATAACGCTATATTTTCGGGCAGTATTAAGCAGTCCTTGACTCTTTCGAGCTCTTTGAAGCCCCGCCGCGAAGACCAAATGGGCCCTTCGAAGGCGAAGGCGCGGCGGCCGCCGCGCGCCTGCAGGCGGTAGCGGCCGCAGTGGTGCTGCGGGTGCAGCGCAGCAACAGCAGCATAAAACCCTGCTGCTGCTGCTGCTGCTGCTGCTGCTGCTGCTGCTGCTGCTGCTGCTGCTGCTGGTGGTGGGGCTTTGCGGTGGCACGAGCTGCTGCGGCGGCGCTGCGAAGCAGCAGTCGAGACACTGCAGCGGCTGCAGCAAACAGCGCGGCTCGTGCTGCAGCAGCTCGCGGTAAGCCAGGGTGTACGTACACCCCAGCGCCGCGTAGCGACACCGCAAACCCCACAAACTCTCCGCCAGCAGCTCCAAAGCCCTGCAGCGGATGGCCAGCCCCGTGCTGCGGCAGCAGGGGCAGCGCAGCAGCTGCTGCTGGCAGCAGCAGCAAAACGTGTGGCCTTCTTTGCACTGGAAGATCGGCGGCAGCATCCGCTCCAGACAAACCCCACACTCCAGCAACTCCAACAAACGCTCCATCCTGCTGCTGCTGCTGCTGCTGCTGCTGCTGCTGCTGCTGCTGCTGCTGCTGCTGCTGCTGCTGCTGCTGCTGCTGGTGGGGGCGGAGGGAGAGGCGCCCTTGGGCACGGGCACGAGTGACTCTGCAGAGGGCTCCGACGAGTCCGCTGCTGCTGCTGCTGCTGCTGCTGCTGCTGCTGCTGCTGGTGTTGGGTCGCTTGCTGCGGAGGGCAGCAGCACGACTTCTTGCTGCACTGCTGCTGCTTCGCTGCTGACTGAGAAGTACGGCCCTGACACGCCGGCGCCTCCCCCGTCCGCAGCAGCCGCTCCTGCTGCAGCAGCAGCAGCAGCAGCTGCTGCTGCTGCTGCTGCTGCAGCGGGAGAATCGAAACGCCTGCCGCCCCCGTCCGGAACCGAATAAGACACCGCCAGCGCTGCGTCTGCTGCTGCTGCTGCTGCTGCTTCGGCTAGCCGCACATCTGAGTACAGGGAAGAGGCGCTGATGCTGCAAGAACCAGCAGCAGCGCCGACTGCAGCAGCAGCAGCAGCTGCTGCTGCTGCTGCTGTTGTTGCTGCAGCCGCAGGAGGGCAGGAGTCGGAGAGGGCCAGCGGATCCCAGTGCAGGTGCGCCGGCGCATGCGCTGGGTGGGGTGTATAGACACCTGAGGCGCAGGGCAAGGCAGGCGCCTCGAGCTCGCTGCTGCTGCTGCTGCTGCTGCTGCTGCAGCACTCCCTCTTTTCCGCAGCCATTTGCGCGAGTTGCTGCAGCAGCCGGGCCTCACAGGAGCAGCAGCAGGAGAGAAAGCCCGCTGCTGCTGCGGAGCGGGGGAAGGGCAGGGGCGCGCGGAAGTTTCAGCTGCTGCAGCAGCAGCAGCAGCAGCAGCAGCAGCAGGCTAGCGGTCGCGGCGGGCAGCGAGCGCGCGATCGCGCGCTTCAAACTCGAGAAAACGAAGGCCAGGGGAGTTTAAAATGCAAATTGTCTTTTGTTTTGAAAAGATTTTGAAATTTGAACGGAAAAGAAGTGAGATCTGGAGCGGCGGCGCTGCGCGGCGGCGGCAGCGAGCTGCAGTGACACCCCGACGCTGCTGCGGTCAAACTTCCGCCGTTCTGCAAAAGAAAACTGACAAAGTGCTTTTAAATGCAAATTAAGTTTGCAAAAAGAAGAAATAAAAAGAAACAGCAGCAGCAAGTGCAGCTTTCCGCGGCTCGAGAGCTGCGGGCGGCGAGGCGGCGCCGCCGAAGCAGCAGCAGCGAGTGGAAGCAGCTGCTGCTGCTGCAGCAGCAGCTTCCCTGCTGCTGCAGCACTCCAGTAAAAAGGAAATATCTATTTGCTGCTTATTAATTGCTTTTTGCTGCTGCTTGCTGCAGCAGAAGGCGCCGCTGACGACCCTGGCGACTTGCTTTCGCTGCTGCACTGCCAACTCTGCGGTGTACAGACACCTCGTGGGGTGTACGTGGACTTCTGCTGCCCCTCCGCCTTCTTCACTTTCATTTCTTTTCTTTTCTTCTTTTCTTTCTTCCCTCTCGGCTTTCCCCGCAGCAGCAGCGCCTCCGAGGCCAGCAGCAGCGCCCAAGACCTCCCAACACCAGCAGCAGCAGCAGCAGCAGCAGCAGCAGCAGCAGCAGCAGCAGCAGCAGCAGAATGCTGCTGCCAGCAGAAGTCGTTGCTGCTCTGCTGGCGACTTTCACCGCCAGCCGCGTTTGCCAGCACTGCCGATTGGCCGAGGGTTTTGTGCGGAGGCAAGAATTTAATTTTAATTGTTTAAATTATTTAAATATTTAATTTGTTTAATTGTTTAATTTGTTTAATTTGTTTAATTATTTAAACCATTTAATGCCATTTAATGCCATTTAATGCCATTTAAACTGCTTAAAACTATTTAAAACTGTTTGAATTAATTAAAATCATTTTAAACTGTTTTAAAAGTGTTCAAAACTACTCTAAATTATTTAAATTATTTAAAAGTATTTTAAGTTATTCAAAATTATTTAAAAGTATTTAAAAGCATTTTTAAAACATTTAAAAGTTTTAAATCTTTTGTTTAAATATTCTTTTCTTGTCTTTAATTGTAAATTGTTTATTTGCTTTTGCTGCTGCTTTAAATTTTTTTATTTCAATTTAAATATAAATAAATAAATAAAATAAATAAATAAATAAAAATAAGTAAATAATTAAAATAAATAAATAAATAAATAAATAAATAATGAATAATTAAATTAAATAATAAATATTGTTGGTTTCTTCTCAAGGGCAGCAGTTTAGCAACCCATCGAACGAACATTTGCTGCTGCTGCTGCTGCTGCTGCTGCTGCTTCTTTTGCTGCTGCTGCTGCTGCTGCTGTTTTTGCTGCTGCTTTTTTGCTGCTGCTGCTGCCGCGAAAAGGCAAATTCGATGGCTTTATCTATTTATTTTTGCAAAAATACAAAGAAATTAAACTAAATTAATTAAATTAAATTAAATTAATTAAATTAATTAAATTAAATTAAATTAATTAAATTAAATTAATTAAATTATTTTTTTTATTTGCAGCATTTGGCTCGCAGTACCTCTGGGAGGCAGCGAGGGAAAAAAGGTGTACGTACACCCCAAGCTGTCTCTAGTGCAGGTCAGGGTTTAGGGTTTAGGGTTTAGGGTTTAGGGTTTAGGGTTTAGGGTTCAGGGTTTAGGGTTTGGGTTTAGGGTTTCATTGTGTTCAATTCAACAAGGAAGGGCAAGCATCAAAACGCACTCAGTGCAGGGTTTAGGGTTTAGGGTTTAGGGTTTAGGGTTTAGGGTGCTGTGTGTGCATGTATAGTTCAGAGTCGCTCTTTTGGCTTGCAAACCCTAAACCCTAAACCCTAAACCCTAAACCCTAAACCCTGATTCGGTGTTTGTTCAGTTTGGCGCGCAGCGAGTCTTTCGCGCTGCAGAAGGGACAGCTGCTTTGCAGGAAGTTGTTGGATGTCTTTTAATTTCTTTTTTAAATTTACTTTTTTATTTTTTTCTTTTCTTCTTCTTTTCTCCAAACCCTCTTCCCGCTGCTTGCGTTCTCGTGGCCTGCGTCCTCCGCCTTTGGTCAGCTGCTGCTGCTGCTGCTGCTGCTGCTGCTGCTGCTGCTGCTGCTGCTGCTGCTGCTGCTGCTGCACTCCTGCTCCTGCTGCTGCGCTGCTGCTGCTGCTGCGCTGCTGCTGCTGCTGCTGCCGCTGCTGCTGTTGCTATCAAGGCTAATTAATCCCCTTTTCCCTCAATTGTCTACCTTTTTTCATTTATTATTAATTAATTAATTAATTAACTATTTATTTATTTATTTTATTTGTTTATTTATTTATTTATTTAATTTATTTATTTATTTATTTATTTATTTATTTATTAAATTAGGTTTTTGCAGCTGCGGCTGCTGCGGACGAATTTGGTTTACCGCTTTGAGGCTTTTAGGCGGCAGCTTCCGCTGTAAGAAAAATAAATAAAAAATAAAATATATTAAATTAAATTAAATTAAAATAAACTAAATTAAATTAAATAATAAATAAGTAAATAAATAAATAAATAAATAAAATAATAATTATAATTAATTAATTAATTAATTAATTAATTCAATAATTTAATTATTCAATTAAATCAACAAAAAATCGGAAAAGGAAATTACGGCCTTTTTGTGGCACTTAAACAAATTAATTTTTCCGCCTTTTACCTTAACCATTTATTTATTTATTTATTTATTTATTTATTTATTTATTTATTTATTTATTTGTCTATTTATTTATTTATTTATTTATTTATTTATTTATTTATTATTTTTTTATTTCAGAATAATTGGGACTTCGGCCGCGCTGGCGGCGGCTTTGTGTCTTCCGGAGTTTCCGCTGCATCGCCTTTTAGGCCTTAACGCTTTTTCAGAAAGTAAATTAAAATAAATAAATAAATAAATAAATAAAATAATAAACAAATTAATTAATTAATTAATTAATTAAATTAAATTAAATTAAATAATGGGCTTGCGGGGATTGGAAAAGGTGGAGAAAGTTGCAGCAAAATGCGCTCAGTGCGCGATTCAGGGTTTAGGGTTTAGGGTTTAGGGTTTAGGGTTTAGGGTTTAGGGTTTGCTAAAGGTCACTTCTGTTCGTTTCTTTTCCAACCGCCTAGCACCTGTTTAGATTTCCTGTTTTTTTCAATCAATTTATTATTTATTTATTTATTTATTTTTATTTATTTATTCATATATTTATTTATTTATTTATTTATTTGTTTATTTATTATTTATTTATTTATTTATTTATTTATTTATTTGTCAGCTCTCCACAAGGTTGTGCAGCAATGGGCCTTCGAGTTGGTGCCCCACAACTTCAAGTGAGAATTAAATAAATTAAAATAAATGAATCAAAATAAATAATAAATACATAAATAAATATAAATAAAAATAAATAAATAAATATAAATTGAAATAAATAAATAAATATAAAAGACAAGCAGTAAATAGTAATAATGCACAATAAATGAGCAAGTACTGAATAAGAAAGGAGCAAAACCATTTGAGTTGCTTTTGATTTTTTGCTGCTGCTGCTGCTGCTGCTGCTGTTGCTGCTGCTGCTGCAGGGGCGTTAGCAGCAGCGGCCTCAGCCTTGTTGTTGCTTGCTGCTGCTGCTGCTGGCTGCTGCTGCTGGCAGCAGCAGCAGCAGCAGCAGTAGGCGAGGTGGAGGGGCTAAAGGCAGCAATTGAGGAACCTTCGGTAGAAACAAATAATAAATAAATAAATAAATAAATAAATAAATAATAAATAAATAAATAACAAATAAATAAATAAATTTAAAATAATTTAAAATGAATTATAAAATTAAAAGCTGCAGGTTGATGGGCCTGAAAGGGTTATTGCTGAGGTGTACAGACACCTCAGGCAGCGGCGTTTGCTTCTGCTTTTGAAGACAAAACAATTAATTAATCATTTATTTATTATTTATTTATTTATTTATTTATTTGTTTATTATTTATTTATTTATTTATTTAATTATTAAATTGTGTTTCTTTTTGTCTTTAGAAATATGTCAACAAAGCCCTTTGGACAGCTTTGGGTGCTGCGGCCCCTTCGCTTCCTGCTGCTGCTGCTGCTGCTGCTTTCTGGTTTGCTGCGCTGCTGCTGCTGCTGCCGCCTGTCTTCTCTTTTGCTTCCGGGTATGTTTGCTGCTGCAGCGGAGGCCTGCTGCTGCTGCCAAGCTCTGCTGCTGCTGCTGCTGCTGCTGCTGCTGCTGCTCAGGTAGCTTTGCTGCTGCAGCGGCGCGCTGCTTTTCTGCTGCAGTCTATTGCTGCTGCTGCAGTCTATTGCTGCTGCTGCAGTCTATTGCTGCTGCTGCTGCTGCTGCTACTGCTTATTCAGCACCTTTATTTATTTATTTATTTATTTATTTATTTATTTATTTATTTATTTATTTATTTATTTATTTATTTTGCTGCAGAATTATAAGTCCAAATATGCTGAAGTTCATCAGAATCTCTCTTGCTGCTGCTGCTTTGCTGCTGCGCATCTCAGCAGCAAAAGACTTAGTACAGGTATTAATTAATTAATTAATTATAATTAACAAATTAACTGATTAAATAATTAATTAATTATAATTAACAAGTTAAATAATTAAATAATTATTTATTTAATTAACAAATCAATCAATTAATTAATTTGTTTGCTTATACATGTTTATTCGTTTATGTGAAAAATTATTTATTTGGAGTGGTGTTTATTTATTTTATTAATTATTTAATTTCATTTTTAATTTCAGAAGGATGAACAAACAAAAAAACTTTATTTATTTATTTATTCATGTTATTATTAATTAATTAATTAATTTATTTATTTATGTATATACTTCATAATTAACTAATTAAGTAATTAATTAACTTATTTATTTATTTATTTTTGCTGCTTTTAGGTCTCGCTGCTGCGGCAGAGTAATGAGCTGTCGCAGCTGCTGCAGCAGCAGCCGCAGCAGCAGCAGCAGCAGCAGCAGCAGCAGCAGCAGCAGCAGCAGCAGCAGCAAAAGAGCGACAGCAGCAGATTAATGAGGGCCACTCAATGCGTGGGTCATTATTAATTTATTTATTTATTTATTTATTTATTTATTTATTTTTTTATTTTTTATTTACGATTTGTTTGTTTTCAATTATTTGTTCTTTACTGATGTTATTTTTTATTAAATGCTTTCCCCCCTATTTCCTCTTATTTATTTATTATTTATTTTTTATTTGTTTATCCATTTAGCATTTATCTATTTATTTATTTATTTGTTATTTATCCATTTATTTTTTTATTTATCTAGTCAGTTTTTTTATTTATCAATTTATTTTTTATTTATTCATATGTATATTTATATATTTATTTATCTAGCAAATATTATTTATTTATTTATTTATTTATTTATTTATTATTTATTTACTTATTATTTATTTATTTATTTATTTTTTTATTTATTATTTATTTATTTGTTTATTATTAATTAATTTATTTATTATTTATTTATTATTCAGGTCTCGCTGGCCAACAGAACCACTTCAGTGCGAGCAGCAGAAGTTTTGCTGCTGCCAGTGCTGCTGCTGCTGCTGCTGCTGCTGACGTTGCTGTTTAGCACAGCAGCAGGTAAACCCCAAACCCTAAACCCTAAACCCTAAACCCTAAACCCTAATGGAGAGCCTCTGTAGCCTCAAACCCTAGCGCTTCAAATTAAACCCTAAAGCGTCGCAGCAGGCGCTGCACCCAGGTGTACGTACACTCTAAACCCTAAACCCCAAACCCTAAACCCCAAACCCTAAACCCTAAACCCCAAACCCTAAATCCTAAACCCCAAACCCTAAACCCTAGTGTTTGGCATTTTTTGCAGAAGTGGCGCCGCCTGCTCCTCCTCCCTTTTTAAACGAATTGGTTCAAGAGGAAAAGACGAATTTAGATGCAGCAGCAGCAGCAGCAGCAGCAGCAAATGCATGCACGCAAGTGCATGCAGCAGCAGCAGCAGCAGCAGATCCTGCTGCTGCTGCTGCTGGCTGCTGTCACAAGACTTCTCTGCTTGAAGAGGGTGAATTCTTTAACTCCTCAATTCCAATTTATTTATTTTTATTTATTATTTTTATTTTTATTTATTAATTCATTTTAATTTATTTTAATTAATTCTAATTATTTATTATTATTTCTGTTCATTTTTCTTTTTTAATTTTAATTTCCGTTAATTCATTTTCTCGCTTTTCCTTATCTTCGAGTACATACACCCCAACCCCACATCCACGCATATCCTGGACAAATAAAAAACTAAAATGAATAAATAAATAACCAAAATAAAATAAATAAATAAATTAATTAATAAATAATAAATAATAATAAATACTAATAAATAATAAATAATAGAACAATTATTAATTTCCCCTTTGGCATTCGTTGCTGCTGCAGCGCTGTGTCCTGAGGTGTACGTACACCTGAAGCAGCAGCAGTCGAAAGAAGGCGCGAAAGAAACTTTTAAAATTCGGGAAAAACAAAAAGAAGATTTGGGGCTGCATGCGCATGCATTTGTGGGGCTGCATGCGCATGCACTTGTGGGGATGCGGGCGCATGCATGCGCATGCAGCCCCAAAACTGCATGCGCATGCAGCCCCCCTGTGGGGCCGTTTTTAACCGTTTTTCGACCTTTGTTTCTTCTTTTTTTTGGAAATAAAAAAGAAAAAGAAGAAGCTTTTAGTCTTTTCGGAAGACTGCAGCAAATAGAAGCCATGAAGTGGTTCGTCTTAGCCAAAAAAAGCTTTTTTTCTTTTTTTAATTCCGAGTTTTCTTCATTCGGTTTCTTCCCGCGCTTTTTGTTTCGCTGATCTCTTTGCCACTTTAATCTTTGCGATATATCATTTATCTATCATTAATTAATTAATTAATTAATTGATTAATTAATTAATTAATTAATTGGATTTATTTGTTTATTTATTTATTTGTTTGTTTGTTTGTTTATTTATTATTTGTTTTTATTGCAGGTTTCGCTTTTCTTTTTCTTCAGCGCCATTTGTCTCTGTGGAATTATTTTCATTTTTTGATTTTTTGTTTTTCTTTCTTTTTGCTGCTGCTGCTTTTCTCTTTTCCCTTTTAGAAGCCACCAATCGCGCCCGCGTCATGTGAGTTGCTGCTGCTGTTGCTGCTGCTGCTGCTGTTGCTGCTGCTGCTGCTGCCGTTGCTGCTGCTGCTGTTGCTGCTGTTGTTACGGTTGTCGTTGCTGCTGCTGTTTCCGTTTTTGCTGCCGCTGTTGCTGTTGGTGTCTCTGCTGCTGCTGCTGCTGTTGGTGTTGCTGCTGCTGTTGCCCTTTGCCGTTGTTGCTGCTGCTGGTAGTCCTGTTGCTGCTGCTGCTGCTGCTGCTGTTGCTGCTGCGCTTAAAGTAGTACGATGCACTCACCGCTGGCTGTATTTGATCGTTTACGGTCCAAATGAAATGAAATTAAATTAAATTGAATTAACTAAACTAATTAAATTAACTCAATTAATTAAATTAATTATATTAAATTAAATTAATTAAATTAAATTAATTGGATTTATTTATTTTTTATTTTTGCACTTTTGCTTTTGGGCGTTCAGGCGAGAAGGCCCTTCGGAGTTTTCCATTTGGGGCCCCGAAGTGCTGGCGAAGCGAAAAACGATTTGAGTTTTGAAATAAACGAATTAAATAAATAAATGAATTAATTAAATGAATCAATTAATTAAATTAATTAATTAATTGATTAAAGGGAAATGGATTAAAGGAAATAAATTGAAAAGAAATGAATTAAAAAGAACTCGAATTGATTTAGGGATAAGGGAAAGCCGCTGAAATGCGCGGCCAGCGCGAGGGAAAAAGAGGAAAGCGAAGTGGAAAATGAAGCAAATAAAACGGAAAAAGAAAATAAAAAGAAATAAAAAAGAAACAAAAAAAAATAAAAAAGAAAAGAGGGAAAAGGGGCTTCAAAAAGAGCCCAAAATGAGACTTTGAAGCCACTTCGTTGCAGCAATTTGCAAAACAAAAAAGCCCCAAAACCGCGCATGCAGCGAACGCATGCAAGTTCTTCTTTTCCGATTTAGAAAACAATTCCACCTCAATTTCTTCAAATAATTCCGATTTAATTCATTAAATTCATTAAATTTAATCATTAAACTCTTCTCCAGTCCAAACGCCGAAAGAAAAGACGAAAATTCGCTTTTGTTCTGCATGCAAGTTCGGGTGTACGTACACCGCAGAAAACGCCCTCTGCTCCTTGGCTTTTCTTTTCAGTTTTTCTTTTTTTTTATTTATTTCTGTTTCTTCTTTGTGCAAAGAACTAAATATATATATGTTTTGGCTTTTCAGATTCTTTTCTTTCTTCTTTTCCTTTTTAAATTTATTTTCTACTTTTATTTATTCCTCATTTGCATGCACACAGCAGCGCCCACTCGGGGGTTCACTTCGACAAAAAAGAAAATAATAATTTCTGGTTCTGTACAAACGAGCCAAACCCTAAACCCTAAACCCTAATTGGGGTTTGGGGCTTAGGGGCCGCCGCAGGCCGCGAGTGCAGCCCCCGGCCTTAGCAGTCCCTTGTTAAGGGTTTATTGAGGGTTTAGGGTTTAGGGTTTAGGGTTTAGCGTTCAGGAGATTTGGAGGAACTCGTCGAGCTCTTGGCACTGAAACGTCTGCAGCAAAGAGCAAAACAAATTCCATTTAATTCAATTCAAAATAATTAAATTAAATTAAATTAAATTGTTTATTGAATTAAATTATTTATACAATGAATGAGTCCAATTACACTGAATTCAAGTTAATTTAATTTAATTTAATTTCTATTTATTTTCTTCTGATATTCCGCCACCAAATTGTTCTCAAAATGAATTTTATTCTTTCACCATCCAATCTCTTTCAATTAAAAAAATTGTTTATTCATATTTATTTATTTTCTTATATTTATTTATTTTTTAATTCATACTTATTCATTTATTTATTTACCTATTTACCTATTGATTGATTTATTTATTTATTTATTTCTTTTGTTTATTTATATCCTTATTTATATTTATTTATTTAATTTATTTATATTTATTATTTATTTATTTATTTATTTATTTATTTATTTATTCATCTTTTTGATTTATTCCTACTGGGTAATTTTGCAGAACTTCGCGGAAGTACCATTCGTAGTTCGTCTGCAGTGTCTCTTCACCTGAAACCCAAATTAAAAAAATAAATTGAAAAAACAACAAATAGGAATTGATTGATTAATAAATCAATTATAAATTAAAGAAGAATTAAATTAAAAAAAGAATTAAAAAAGAATTAAGTTAAGAAAGAACTAAATAAAAGAAGTAAATTGAAAAAGAATTAAACAAGAAAGAACTAAGGTAAAAAGGGTTAAATAAAAAGGATTAAATAAAAATGATTAAATAAAAAGGAATTAAATAAAAAGAATTGAATAAAAAAGAATTAAATAAAAAGAATTAAATTAAAATAAAAAGAATTAAATAAAAGAATTTAATAACAAGTTGAAATTAATTTTTTTATTTTCCACTTTTTACGAACTTGAACGCAAAAGCCCCAAACCCTTTTTGGGTATTTTGGGGACCAGTTTAATTTCTTTGAAATTGAAGTGGCGGCAAAGAGCTGCATGCAAGTCCTGAAAACAAATAAATAAATAAATAAATAAATAAATAAATAAAGAATAAATAAATAAAAAAAATAAATAAATAACTAAATGAATAAATAAATAAATAAATAAATAAATAAATTGGAATTAATTTAAAGAAATTTGTTTCGTTTGAATTGTTCAAATTAATTCAAATCAACGAAATGAGGGCATCAAGTACATGCATGCAACGCAAATCCTAAACCCTAAACCCTAGGCTCTAAACCCTAAACCCTAGGCTCTAAACCCTAAACCCTAGGCTCTAAACCCTAGGCTCTAAACCCTAAACCCTAGGCTCTAAACCCTAAACCCTAGGCTCTAAACCCTAGACGCCACCCACTAGGCTCTAAACCCCAAACCCTAGACTCTAAACCCTAGAACTGAAGCGCCAAACCCTACACTCTTAACCCTAGACCTGAAACCCTAAACCCTAAACCCTAAACCCTAAACCCTACTTGTATTTGTTTCTCCGTAACTTCTATTTCTGCATGCGTTTCCTTTTGTTCTTCTTTTTTGGAAATGAAGATTTTAATCCAAGTTTCGTTTTGTCGTTTTGTGAAAGAAGATATCGAAACCTTAAAACAAAAACAAAAATAAAATAAAAAAATAATAAAAATAATAAAAAACAAAAATTAAAATTAAAAGAAAAATAAAGACAACAAAAGGACGAAAGTGGAAAAAAAAATTTTATTTATTTACGAGGAATTTGTTGACGCATTTGTTCAATAATTAATTAGTTACTTCATTTATTATTTCTTATTTATTTATTCAATACTTATCTTTTATTTGTTTATTTTTTATTATTTATTTATTTATTTATTTATTTTATTTATTTATAACAAACCGTAAAGGAGGGAAAGGAGGGGCTCGCTTCCGCCCCTGCAAACAAACGCAAAAAAGAAGTTAAATTAAATTAAGTCTAAAAATTAAATTAAATTAAAAGTTAAATTAAATTAAAAGTTTAATTAAATTAAATGAGAATTAAGTTTAATCAAATTAGAATTAAATTAAATTGAATTAAATTAAATTAAATAAATTAAGTTACTCCCAAAAGAGTGATGAAGAAATAGATACAAGTAACACAGAGAGAAAATAAGGAAAATAAATTTAAAAATTCTATTAAATACATAAATGAACAAATAAATAAATAAATAAATAAATAAATAAATACTTGAATAATAAATAAATAATTTGAATGGACAAATAAATAAGAAATGCTAATGCTCAAAAACTGGAAAATAACTGAAAAAGAAAAAGAAAAAATAAAAATGGAGTTTTAATTTGACTTCTCTGCAAGACATAAATGCATCAGCAAACAAATTACATTTTATTTAATCCTATTTTATTTATTTATAATTTATTTATTTTAATCCATTTAGCATTTATTTATTTATTCATTTATTCATTCATTTAACTATTTATTTACTTGCTCAGTCATTTTATTTATTTATTAATTTGTGTATATTTTCATATCTGTATTTATGTATTTATTTATTTATTTATTTATTATATATCTATTTATTTACCTATTTATTTATTTATTTATTTATTTATTTATTTATTTTATTTATTTTTAATATATTAATATATATATATTTATTTATTTATTTTATTACTTTGAGGCCCTTCGAGGATTCCAAGGAAAGAAAGAAAAGAACTGCTGCGTCGACAGGCGCTGCTCGAAGAAACCTAAAAATGAAAATAAATAAATTTAAATAAACAAATAAATTTAATTAATTAATTAATTTATTTATTTATTTATTTATTTATTTATTATCCAATTGTTTAATTAATTATAAATAGGAAGAATTTAAACAAATAGATTAACGAATAAATGAAAATAAATACATGAAAATAAAAAAAGGAAAATAAATAAAATGACACAAATAAATAAAGAGATAAATAAAAATAAGTAGTTCATTGTCATGCAATTAAAACAAAAAGTAATTGAGGAAAATAATGAAGTGGAATAGAAGAATATTAATTGGAGAAAAAAGAAAAATAAAAGAAATAGATTTTTTTGATTCTAAAAGATATATTTGATTCAAACAATAAATAAATAAAGATATAAACAGAATAAATAAAAATAAACAAATAAACAAGTAGATAAAATAAATAAATAAACAAACAAATAAATAAATAAATAAATAAATAAATAAAACAAATACAATAAATAAAATAAATCTAATAAATAGAATAAGTAAACGAATAAACAAATAAATAAATAAATAAATAATAAATAAATAAACTTTCCTGTCTAAGCCAAAGAGCCAAATGGACTTTTCGAATTTGGAAAAAAAAATAATTCTTTTTTTTTAAAATTCCAAATGGCAAAAAAGGAATTTTTTCTTTTGTTTCTTTTCGCAAACTTTTTCTCAAAATGAAGAAAGAACTGAAAACAAAACAAACTTTGATTTTATAATTTGTTTTGTTTTAATTAATTTATTTAAAACACTTTTATTTGAAGAGTTTGTTTTCATCATTTGTTTTGATTTTGTTTTATTCGTTTAAAATGCTTATTTGCTCAAAAGATCTTTTATTTGAAAAGTTTATTTTGATTATTTGTTTTTATTTTGCTTTATTCGTTCAAAACGTTTTTTATTTGAAAAATTTTATTTTCATTATTTGTTTTGTTTTAATTAATTTATTAAAAATGTGTATTATGTGAAAAGTTTATTTTCATTATTTGTTTTGTTTTGTTTATTCAAAATGTTTACTTCTTTGAAAAGTTTATTCTCATTATTTGTTTTGTTTTAAACCCTAAACCCTAACCCTAAACCCTAAAACCCTAAACCCTAGTTGTATCTGGTGGCGGCAAAAGATAGGCCTTTTGTCCCAAACCCCAAACCCTAAACCCTAAACCCTAAACCCTAAACCCTAAACCCTACCTGTATCTGGTGGAGCAGAAGAAAAGTCCTTCTTTGGTGAGAGTGCGGATATCCAAAACAACAAAAGGGTGTTTTGTGTCTTTGCAAATTCTCAAACGCCAAATGTGGGATATGAAGCAGCTGCTGCT